TCTTCCTCTCTGAAATCAATAAAAATATATATATATTTAAAAAGTAAAATATCTCTAATAGGCACCAAATAAGACTCAGAAATACTTAAGCAAGGAGCCCATTACTGTGGGAGTTAAACGTCATCAGAGTGCCACTTAAAAATATTAATTGTCCCTTTTCATAACAGGCAGCAGTCACAGGCCCAGGAGCCTGCGGGTCCACGGGCCTCGGGAAGGGAGTCTCGGAGACCCGGGAAGGAATATCCGTGTCTAGTACAGATGCCCCATCAGTAACAGGAAAGTGTCCTGATAGTTCGTCGGGAAAGCCTTTAGCCTGTGAGCCGGGCGTCCAGATAGAACCGCCCAGGTCTGTGCAAAGGGCGTGGGCCCAGCTTTGTCCGATCAGGGTAGGGTTTTATCCATGGGCCAAATAATGTTAACATAAAGCGTTAATGTTCTAATTCCACTTCTTAAAATTTCTAACTTTAAGAAGATCTAAAGGCCTGAATACAAGGAATTAATTTTGCTCTAGAACTAAGTATGATTCATTTGAATGGTCAGCCGTTCCGCTACACTTGGATTTCTAACCAAGAACTTCCGAGTCCTCCCTGGAGTGTGAACTGCGTTTATTCACAAGGTCCCTCATGGGAGTCAATGCCCTGCAAGAGACCCGAAGGCTGTCTCATTGTAGCCGTTTCTAAAACAGCCCACGATGCGACAGCCGGAACGGCCAGCGACAGACAAGGGCCAGCACATTGGCAAGATGTTCTCATCAGTATCAGCGAGGTCAGGCATCTCTCAACAGGATTGTAGGATGACGGTATAAAGACTGGGGGAAGGTTTACGGTGAATGGAAAACAGCAAAGGGGTTGGTATGCTGGGGCTGCAGCTATGTGAAGAGAATGCATGTGGCCTGGCCAGCATGGCTCAGTGGTTGAGCATCGACCTATGAACCAGGAGGTCATGGTTCAATTCCTAGTCAGGACACATGCCCAGATTTTGGGCTCAAGCCCTAGTAGGGGGCATGCAGGAGGCAGCTGATCAATGATTCTCTCTCGTCATTGATGTTTCTATCTCTCTCCCTCTCAGAAAGCAATAAAAAAATATATATATTTTTAAAAAGAGTGCATGTGGGCAAGAAGGGGAATGTTATAGATACGGAAATAGCAGCATTTAGAGAGGAGGCTCACATGTGGTGCTTTTTTGCTGTATTTTTCAAGAATTTTCTTTGATGTTGTGTTGAATTTTTAAATGATGCTGATAAATCTAACACTAACAGATATTTTAAATAATTGAAAACCTGGGGATTTTTTTTCTTACAGTTATTCCTCATAAAATCGGCCGAGTCATAGAAGGAAGCCCAGCTGACCGCTGTGGGAAGCTGAAGGTGGGAGACCACATCTCAGCAGTGAATGGGCAGTCCATCGTCGACCTGTCCCACGACAGCATCGTCCAGCTGATCAAGGACGCCGGCGTCACTGTCACGCTGACGGTCATCGCTGAGGAAGGTAAGGGAGCAGTCAACCTAGATGCCCCGAGGAGCCCAGAGCCTGCAGAAGGCATGGCTCCCTCTAACGTGCCCTGGAGTCTCATTGTTTGCCTTTTCCGTTTTATATATATACTAGAGACCCGGTGCACAAAATTTGTGCACGGTTAGGGCCCCTAGTGGCTATCGTCACTGTCACGCTGACGGTCATCGCTGAGGAAGGTAAGGGAGCAGTCAACCTAGATGCCCCGAGGAGCCCAGAGCCTGCAGAAGGCATGGCTCCCTCTAACGTGCCCTGGAGTCTCATTGTTTGCCTTTTCCGTTTTATATATATACTAGAGACCCGGTGCACGAAATTTGTGCACGGTTAGGGTCCCTAGTGGCTACCGGCCTTCCTTCGTTCTGTGCCGCCCCCTGGTGGTCAGCACACATCATAGCGAGTGACCGAACTCCCAGTCAGTCAAACTCCTGAGGGGACACTTTGCATATTAGGCGTTTATATATAGAGATATTTCAGAGAGGAAGGGGGAGGGAGAGAGAGATGGAAACATCAATGATGAGCGAGAATCATTGATCGGCTGCCTCCTGCATTCCCTACACTGGGGATCGAGCCCGCAACCAAGGCATGTGGCCTGTCCAGGAATTGAACCATGACCTGGTTCATAGGTCGACACTCAACCACTGAGCCATGCTGGCTGGGCAGCCTTTTCCATTTAATGGATTAGAAAGTTTATTATAAAGTGTCAGTAGCTCAAGACAACAGTAGCTCCGGCTAGTGAGTGGTGGCCATTTGTGTGCCGGGAAGTAAGCAGCCAGCAGCGAGAGAGATTGGTAGACTTTCCGACCGCGTGTCCTTTTAAATAACAAGTCTTAAGTCTGCTGGAGTGAGGGAAAACCCTCTGAGGAGCTCAGAGTCACAGAGCCTCGGCGTCAGGCCCAGGCCGAGCTGCCTTCAGGGAGGCGGCTTCCTCTGGCAGCCGCCCTGTAAGGGGGGAAGGGAGTGAGTGGGAATGGCCAGTAAATGGGGCATGAAACACACTTAGTGTCTCGCTTTGCTTTAAAGCTGCCTTTGGTCAGGAATTCCTACTTAGGAACCATTTCGAATAGCCCCGTTCTGTTCTTTATGAATTACATAGTGCTCATCTCATCTTTCCCGATTGTGTAAAGCCACTGAGAAGCCTGAAACAGCAGAGCTATGAGGGGTCAGTCTTGCATATTAAAATGCCGTGCACTGCAGTGCATATCCGTGTCTGTTCCCCCCACGACCTCTAACCCAGTCGGTCTGTTCTCTTCCTGCGGCCCCACCGCCATGTTTTCATCTAAGGAGTTACCCAAACTTCCTGTCTGCCCTGGGTCCTGGGTGGACACCGCTCGCTGGGGCCCTCCCATGCCCTTCTGAGGCCCGGGTGATGGGCTCAGGTTTCAGCCCCATCAGCCTTGCTCAGTCATGGTCTTACTACGCTGTGCCCCCTCCCCTCGGTACTTCAATCTCCTACGTTTGATGTTTGGACGGGATAAGACATTAGAGTTCCCGCTTTAGAGCTGTGAGTCTGACCGTCTCTAACGGTCCTGGCCCATGACCGCCGTCGAGCTCTAGATGCTGCGCTTGGTACCAAAGCTGCCTTCAGGGCAACAGACCTGGAGCTGCTGCCCAAGATGCGGGAACAGATGTGCCTTCTCCTCACCTCTGTGCTCTTAGAAAGCTCTGCCTGCGTCTGTTTTCTAAACACTCGTCAACTCGAGGGTGATCATGTGTCGGGCGAGATAACTGCTCCGGATAAGGGATGCAGCTGGAGGGGCGTGGGGCTGGCGGACGGGCCTCTGTCCCCACCTCCGCAGACCTGTCCCCTCCTGCAGTGGTTCAGAGGTGGGGGTGAGCTCCGGAACCCACAGAGGAACAGGCTAGGAGGCGGTTCCTGGAGCCCGTCCTCGCCGGGCAGGACCCGCGTGGGTTCCTTTCTGACTCTCCTCTGTGTGGACGATCCACATCAGGGTGGTGGCGGGGAGTGTGTGGCGTGAGAATGTGACTCCTGTTCTCCGTAAACATAAATGTTACTCAGAGGACATGGGGAGGGCAGCCACATTCCTCCCCCGACAGCTGAGCAGCCGGCTCGTGCGGCCACTGAGGTGGGAAGCGGCCCCATGTGTTACCGTCTGGTGCCCGTGGACCCACTCGGCCTCCACGTTCTTAGGGACAGATGCTCAGTCCTGTTTTTCCTCCTCTGAACAGAGCATCATGGTCCACCATCGGGAACAAACTCAGCCAGGCAGAGCCCAGCCCTGCAGCACCGGCCCCTGGGACAGTCACAGGCCAGCCACGCGCCTGGGGACAGGTGAGGCTTTCTCCGTCCTGGCCCTTCTCTCTCTTCAGCACCCACTGCCCCGCCCCGCAGTGATGAGGAGCAGCCGGAGGTCCCCATGAGAACCTGCATCTTCCACCTTCAGGTCCTTCCTGGTCCCCCTCCCTCCATCGCGCCCGACACGCGGGGACTGGAAGGAAGCCACGGCCCCACTGGCTCGGCCACTCTGGGCCCTGGTTTGGGAGGGAAGCCCCAGCCCCACAAAGACTGCTGTCTCCTAGGCGACCTGAGCAGAGCAGTGTTCATACCTATTTATTTCCTCTTCAGTCGAAACATTGGCCATCAACACTCGGTTACTAGAAACTCGGCGCAGCCCCTCCCGGCATTGGCGCTCAGCAGAGCCGTCTGGTGAGGTCGGCTCCCGGGCCGCAGGCTGTCGCTCGGGTGCAGTTCCTTTGGTGTGAACTGCCCGGGACCCCTGGCCCTGCGGACGGGACGCTGGTGGAAGGGCCGGTTTCTGCCCAGCATCTCCGGCATCTCCGTCCGGTGTAGCCTGTCCCCACAGCAGTGTGCCGGGCGGTGCCCAGGCCCAGCTCTGAAAGGAAATGGGGAAGCTGCCTTTACGTGCAGCCGGTTTTGATTGCTCAGTTCAGAGGGGGCCCTGGCTTCTCTCCCGCAGTGAGACTTACAGACACTCGTGGGCGGACCACAAGCAACTCCCCCAGCCCGACGCGGCCGTGATCTCCGCTGTGGGCAGCCGGCACCACCAGGTGAGATGCCCACCCCCCCCCTCCCCCCGGTTCACACTGGGGTTTTTATTGCAAATCAGATAAATTTGTTAGTCAGTCACTCTTGAGGACCTACTGTGTGGTTGGCAGTCTGTTTGCTTCCAGAGAGAATGGAGAGTGAAAGGAAGGTTTGCCCAGCGGGTGGAGAAATTTGAACCCTGGTTGAGTGCTTAGAGCGGGGCTTGAGTTCCTCAGAGGAGCGGTGGGTTTTTCTCTTTTCAGGAAAATTAGTTAAAATCTACTTAAAGGAAGCACGTCCCCAAATTCTGTTCTCTGATTGACCAGCTAGTAGAGGAGACACGTAACCCCCAGATTTCGGCTGCATTTCTAAAAACTGCGCAGCCCTGGGCCCGCAGCGTCCGCTCCTTCCTGGCGCCATACAAGTGCTGCTGAGGGTAGATCCTGTCCCCGCCGTGAGCGAGCGGCCCCTGGAGCCTGTTTCCTCCCTTCCTCCCCTCAGGGCCTGGGCTGCTACCCGGTGGAGCTGGAGCGCGGCCCCCGGGGCTTCGGGTTCAGCCTCCGCGGGGGCAAGGAGTACAACATGGGGCTCTTCATCCTGCGCCTGGCCGAGGACGGGCCCGCCCTCAAGGACGGCCGGATTCACGTGAGTCGGCCTCGCTCTCCGCCTCTGCTTTCGGCTCCAGGGAAGTAGTTGCTGAAAGGGTGTGCGGACAGCTCTCGAGTCTAAGCAGCGAGATCCTGCGTCACTCAAACCTGAGGGACACGTGCCTGCCAGTCCCTCTCTGACCCAGGACGCCCGCCCTTCTCTCCTCGCTCCCTTCCCATCGCGCCAGCATCCTCGGCACCTTGAGTAGTGTCCCTAGTGGGCGCTCCGTAGGTATTTGCGGGAAGAATAGAATGGACAGATAATGCTTCTAGCTAATGGGAGGATTACTGTTACTATTTAGGGTCGGTTCCTGGAATCCACTGCTGGTAGGCAGGACCTGGGTTATACGAAGCAGTTAGCAAACAGTGTAACTCACTAAAACAAGAACATGTGAGCTTGTAATAGATGGAGAGCTGTTGAGAGTATCTGTGGGTCTCAGGCTGGTCCTTAAATCTGCTTAAAATGTAGAGAGGAGGAAATAAGGTTTCCGGGAAAAGCTAACGAGAAATCGGCGGAAGTGGGAAAAGTTCGAGTTAGGGAATAATGTATGTCCATGTTTAACATAGAACAAAGTCAGAAAGTTTCAGGATTTGCCATCTCCCAGGCCAGTGGTCGGCAAACTGCGGCTCGCGAGCCGCATGTGGCTCTTTGGCCCCTTGAGTGTGGCCACGAAGTTTCAATCGCACTGTACGTGCGCGCCCGCACGTGGTATTTTGTGGAAGAGCCACACTCAAGGGGCCGCAGTTTGCCGACCACTGTCCCATTCACCACGTTCTCCCTGTGTTAGTGCGAGTCTCACGGCTGTGAGGTGGGTGCCGGCCCCGTACAGAGTTCACCTGAGGCTCAGCGAGACGGTCCCTCGCCGGTGCCGCAGCCTGTGGCGGCTGCAGAGGGACCAGGCCTGTCCTGCCGATGCCGTTGGGAGGCCTGTGGGCTCTTGACATGTTCTGAGATGATCATGTGAACAACTGTTAGAAATATTTTTAGTGGATGTTTTAAAAACTGTGCGATTGCCTTAAAGATAGTGTTTAAGAGAGCCAAATTTTTCTTTATCCCTTCTTCCTTCCGTTCTTATTCTCCATCCCCCACAATTTTTTTTTCAGTAATACAAACCTGAACATGAATTTGTTCTGTTTGCCAAACGATGTGTTCTCATCCCATTTTAAAACTGTAGAGTAACCAAGCTGTACAAGGATGTCTGCATTTCCCTCTCAAAGGGCCGCGGTCTGCCCTGGGCCCTGCACTGGTCCCTACAAGCTGAGCTGCCAACATCTTCAAGCCCTGGCCCTCTTCCGCTTCTCCCCCAGTTTAGCTTAAACAAAAACGACACCTGGTGGCAAATCCGTTCAGTTACAAGTTTTATTATAATTTACTTGTGCTAAAACAATAAGAACTGTGCAGGTCTGGATAGTGAATTTAAGCCAAAGACTGTGCTTAAACTTAATTACAACCTCAGTCATGTTTTCTAAGATGTACCCAGAGCACGCTTCACATACTGTCTGCTCTAATTCTCTTTTCTCTAGCGACCGGCAGGATTATACAGCTAGTGCTAATTTGTCATCTACTTCCTCATGAAAATGTTTCTTCTTCGGTCACTTACGGGAAATCTGGGCTTTTTAAAAATCAATTATCTTGCTTTTAAAGATTTCTTTTCCACTTTGTGAAATCTATTGATCTTGTTTCTGATATCCTCCTCCATTTTTTTCAAAAGTATACAGCAAAACACTTATTCTCCTTCATAGTTTACTTGCAATTTTTACATTGTGCTCTCTATAGTGAACTAATTCATACTCATGCCCTACAGTGGTTCTCAACCTGTCGGTCGCGACCCCTTTGGCGGTCGAACGACCCTTTCACAGGGGTCGCCTAAGACCATCCTGCATATCAGAGATTTACATGACGATTCATAACAGTAGCAACAAAAATAATTTTATGGTTGGCTCACAACATGAGGAACTGTATTTAAAGGGCCAGAAGGTTGAGAACCACTGCCTTAGGACTTTTTTGGAAAGCCTGAAAATAGGCAAGTTCACACTAACATACATTTGTGCTTGGTTTGTAATCATGTTCTATCCCTTTAAGTCCTCCCAACGCCCCGTTTCACAGAGAGGGAGGCGAGACCCCTGTGGGAGGAGGAGGTGGGTGACTGGCGCGGCCTCCCTGCTGCTGTTCCTGGGAGCTTAGCAAGCGCGGGCAGCTATTGGAATTGCTTTCGCTAATTTTCCCTTGTTTTGTTCTGAAGCCAACACCCTTTACTTACTTTTCACCTTGAAATGTAGTTTCAAATCTGGAATAAAATCCCTACCATCATCATCTTTAATCAGGCCCTTTGCAGAAGTTAAACTTGTCCGTATTTTTCCTCTAAAAAACAGCAGACATTTCTAGGAAGTAGCAGAGGTACCGAGGCATTTTATTCTAATCCCTAGTCTTCTAGGGCAGCAGCCACCAGCCGGTGGTCCGAAAGGTTGGCGGCCGCTGTTTCAGGGAAATCATTTTACACCACAGTAATGAAATATGAGCCGGTTATTGGATTTAAATCGGTCTTCACATTAATATATTCTCCAAGGTGAGTTTCAGTCTTAATGTATGAATATTTCATTTGGTTCTTGATTTCAAGATGCCCAGCTCCTGCTTCCTAGTCATGTAAAGCTAGACATTCCTCTTCTGCCACCATCTGCTGCCTTCCCCTCCTCAACGCGAGAGCGGGCGGCGCTGTGCACAGGTGAAAGGTCTTACCAGTGGAAGGGGCGCTGGGCCAGGCTGAGCGGCTCTCGAGTCCACGGAAGCGAAACGGATGACAGTGTGTTGCTCCCTGTCTAGGTCGGGGACCAGATTGTGGAGATCAACGGGGAGCCCACACAAGGCATCACGCACACGCGCGCCATCGAGCTCATCCAGGCCGGCGGGAACAAGGTGCTCCTGCTGCTGAGGCCGGGGACGGGCCTGATTCCTGACCACGGTGAGCGGGGCGCCTGCAGCTGCAGAGCTGAGAGAGGGTCAGGAGGGTCAGCAGGAGGAACATGCACGGGGAGGGGATAGTTACCCGCCCAGTCCCAGCAAAAGCCAGAATCATCTACAGCTAGCGACATCGCATGGCTTTCATTAGCTATAAATAATATTACAAAAGAGGTGGCTCCAGGCAGGACTTTGCTGGAATGGGATACGTGTGAAGCTAATTTCAACAGAAAATACAGAAATGTGCCTGGAAAGGCACAAGGTTGTCAGAGGCGAGTGGTTTAAATGTCAGGAAAACCGTCTGAAACCTCTGCAGCTGGCATTTATTCCGCGGCGTCGGGTCCGCTCCTCTGCTGGGCAGCGGGAGCTGCAGGCCCGCTGGTCCCCGGGCGCTGCAGCAATGTCAGTGCCTGGGCTGCGTGCCCTGGCCGAGGAGGAGGTGGCCCCGTGCGGGACCTCCCGCGGCCTCTCAGCCCGCGATCCTCCGACACTCACCTTCCGCCATCTGCTTGTAGCCGTGGGCCCGGTGACGTCGGTGCTAACTGCGCTGCGATGTGTTCACACAGTCCTAGGCTTTTTCTCTTCCTCCTTCAGGTTTGGCTCCTTCCGGTCTGTGCTCCTACGTGAAACCTGAGCAGCATTAAGGCTTTCAGGGCTTTTCTTGGTCTTTCCTTAAAAAGACTTGGTAAATTTGCATGTCTTGTCAATCACTTCCGTCTTTTTTTTTTTTTTCTTTAGTTAAAAAATGATGCTATGAAATACATCTAATTCTTCCGCTGCACTTTTCCGTTTCCTTTTGACGTTAAATTTGACAGCTTCATGAGGAAAACTATTTACAAATGCCCGCGGACCACAGTGCGGTCTCCTGTCTTAGTGACTTAGCATTCCTTAGGCTGTAGCCATTGGTGAGAGCTAAATTAATACGCCTCTTGGACCAGGTAGTTTGGTCGAATTTTAAGTTTTAATTGGGCTTTACACATAGTAACTGGAAAAAGTGAATCCTGTTATTTGCTGTATATTTAAACTCCCTACCCTGGATGTACAAATACAGCTGTCTGTACACACCTGCCTTTATAGAGATACTAGTACTAGTGTGTAGAGCCACCTAAATGTCTGTAAACTGTTCAGATTCTCATCTACTTCAAATGGCTGTCATAGTTCAAACCTTACTGCTCCTCACTCACTCCTAACATTTAACCATGTTCCACTCACCTCCTCCCCAGGCGATTGGGATACCACTCTCCCTCCATCTCCCCACGTGATCTACGACGAACAGTCACCATCGGCCCCACCCTCGCGTTCCGCGTCCATGGTTGAAGAGCCGCACGTGCCGGTAACTGGAGACTCCTCGGCGAGAGCTCAGACGCGGGACCAGGCAGAAGAACTCCCGGACGCGGCGCCTGGGAGGAAAGGCACTTCCCATCAGTCTCTCCTCCAGAAAAACGCGAGCAAGAGGGACCCACCTGCCGGCCACGGGCACGGCGACAAGAAGAACCTCTTAAAGGTGGAAAACGGTGTCTCCCGGCGCGGTAGGTCCGCCAGTCCTAAAAAGGCCGCCAGTCGCTATGCAGAGGACCATCTAGAAACGATTCCCGGTCCTCTCAAAAGTGACCCGAAAAGACGGCCCCGGGACCGGTCCTCCAGCCCCAGGAGAGGCTGGAGTAAAAGTGGGCCCAGCAGCGCCAGGGCAGGTCCTGGACAAGACCCTGCCAGGAGCAGCAGAGGGCGCTCTTCAAGCCCCAAGAAGCAGCCGAGGACCGAGGGCAGCAGAGACCCCCCAGGGGCCCCGGCCAGCGAGGGCGCCCAGCCGGCCTCGGATGGGGTCAGGAACGAGGCGAAGCAGGGTCCGCCTGGGAAAACCAGAGCTCGCTCTCCAGAGAAAAGAAGCAAGAGGCTGGATGAGAAGTCGCTCCCGTCCAAAAAGACTCCTCTCGTTGCCAGCCGAGGAGGACCTGAAAGTGAAAAAGGAAAGCGAGCCCCCTTCGGAGAAGCGTCGGAAAAGAAGCTGAAGCCGGACCCAGAGGACGACAGCGGGAAGGAGGCGGCCGACAGCGGCCGGGGCTCT